TTAAAGGATCTCTCCTTCAGGAGGATATTACAATTCTAAATATCTATTCACCAAACAATGGAGCACCCAAATTTATCAAAGAAACACTACTTTCCCTCAAATCCCATATAGATCCAAAGGCATTAATTGTTGGGGATTTTAACACACCACTCTCCCCACTAGATAGATCAACTCGGCAAAAACTCAACAGAGAAACCACAGATCTAAACAGCTGCATAGATCAACTAGACTTAACAGACATTTACCGAACATTTCACCCAGCAGCATCAGAATACACGTTTTTCTCAGCAGCACATGGAACGTTTTCTAAAATAGACCACATTTTAGGCCACAAAGCAAACTTGTCTAAATTCAGAAACATTGAAGTTATACCTTGCATTCTCTCTGACCACAAGGGAATAAAATTAGAACTCAACACCAAAAGCCACCAAAGAAAGTCCGGTATCACATGGAGGCTGAACAACACACTGCTGAATCATGAGTGGGTCATGGAAGAGATTAGAAAGGAAATTCAAATGTTCATGCTATTCAACAAAAATGAACACACAAAATACCAGCTCCTCTGGGACACAGCAAAGGCAGTACTCAGAGGCAAGTTTATAGCTCTGAGCTCCTACATCAACAAATTGGAGAGATCTGAAACTAGCAATTTAATGACGCATCTAAACCTCCTTGAAAAAGAGCAGCAAGATAAACCCCAATCCAGTAGACGGAAAGAAATAATCAAAATTAAATCAGAATTAAATGAATTAGAATCCAAAAAAACTATAGAAAGAATCAACAAAACAGTTGGTTCTTCGAAAAACTTAACAAAATTGACAGACCCTTAGCAAATCTTATCAGAAAAAGAAGAGAACACACCCAAATTAATAAACTCAGAGATGAGAAAGGAAACATCACCACGGAAACAACCAAGATTCAGAACATTATAAGGGAATACTTCTCAAAACTGTATGCTAATAAGTTTGAGAACTTGACAGAAATGGACCTCTTCCTAGCAAATATTGACATGCCAAAACTAAACCAAGATGAGTTAAACTATCTTAACAGGCCCATATCAAGCACTGAAATAGAAACAGCAATAAGAGACCTCCCAGCTAAGAAAAGTCCAGGACCAGATGGTTTCACAGCGGAATTTTACAAGGCCTTCAAAGCAGAGCTCACACCAATTCTCCTCCAACTCTTCAATGAAATTGAAAGAGAAAGCTCACTACCGAACACATTCTATGAAGCCATCATAACCCTCATCCCAAAACCAGGCAGGGACTCATCAAAGAAAGAGAACTATAGACCCATTTCTTTGATGAACATTGATGCAAAACTTCTCAACAAAATTTTGGCCAATCGACTTCAACAATTCATCCAAAAAATCATACACCACGATCAAACAGGATTCATTTCAGGGATGCAAAGCTGGTTCAATATACGCAAATCAATTAATATTATTCATCACATCAACAGGAGCAAGAATAAGAACCACATGGTTATCTCAATAGACGCAGAAAAAGCATTCGACAAGATCCAACACCCCTTCCTGATGAAGGTTTTGGAAAAATTAGGAATCCATGGAACATTCCTCAATACAATAAAGGCTGTATATGACAAACCTACAGCCAGCATTATACTCAATGGTGAAAAACTAAAGCCATTTCCTCTTAACTCAGGAACAAGCCAAGGATGCCCACTCTCTCCACTTCTCTTCAATCTAGTATTAGAATGCCTAGCTACAGCAATAAGACAAGATGCAGACATAAAGGGGATCCAAATTGGGAAAGAAGAAATAAAACTCTCCCTCTTTGCAGATGACATGATCTTGTATTTAAAGAATCCCATAGACTCCACTCCCAAATTACTCAAGCTGATTCAAAACTTTGGCAAAGTAGCAGGTTATAAAATTAACCCCCAAAAATCAATGGCTTTTCTGTATGCCAACAATGAGAAAAGTGTGGCTGAAATTAGGAAAGCAACTCCATTTGTAATAGCCCCACAAAAAATAAAATACCTAGGAATTAACTTAACTAAAGAAGTGAAGGACCTCTATGATGAAAACTTTAAAATCTTGAAAAAGGAAATCAACACAGAACTTAAAAAATGGCAAAACCTCCCATGCTCCTGGATTGGAAAGATTAACATTGTGAAAATGGCAATACTTCCCAAAGCTATCTACAAATTCAACGCAATACCTATCAAAATTCCACCCTCATTCTTCAAGGAAATAGAAGAGGCAATCCAAAAATTCATATGGAACAATAAAAGACCCCGAATAGCAAAAACGCTCCTCAACGGAAAGAACACTGCTGGAGGAATATCAGTACCAAATTTCAAACTCTACTATAAAGCCATAGTAATCAAAACAGCTTGGTATTGGCATAAGAACAGACCTCAGGACCAATGGAATAGAATTGAAAACCCAGAAATGAACCTACAGACCTATAGCCATCTAATCTTCTATAAGGGAGCTAAAACAATAGAATGGAAGACAGACAGCCTCTTCAGTAAATGGTGCTGGCAAAACTGGTTAACTACATGTAGAAAACTAAAGCTAGATCCTTATATATCACCCTGCACCAGAATCAACTCCAAATGGATCAAAGACCTTGAACTCAAAGCAGACACTCTGAAAACATTACAGGATGGAATAGGAGAAACCCTGGGTCTCCTCGGCTCAGGCCGAAATTTTCTGAATAGAGACCCGGAAACACAACAAATCAAAGAAAGGTTGGACAAATGGGATTGTATAAGGTTGCAGAGCTTCTGCAGGGCAAATGACATAGCTAGCAAGATCAATAGAAAGCCCACGGATTGGGAGAAGATCTTTACTAGCCATACAACGGACAAGGGTCTCATATCTAAAATATACTTGGAACTCAAAAAATTAAACCACCCAACAACAAATCCTCAAAGAAACAACTGCCCAATAAGTAAGTGGGTGAAAGACTTAAAGAGAAGCTTCTCTGAAGAAGAAAGAAGGATGGCCAATAGACACATGAAGAAATGTTCAACATCCCTAGCTATAAAAGAAATGCAAATCAAAACAACATTGAGATATCACCTCACTCCAGTTAGAACAGCAAAAATCAAGAACTCTAACAACAACAGATGCTGGAGGGGATGTGGACAGAAAGGAACCTTACTTCATTGTTGGTGGGAATGTAAACTTGTTCAACCACTTTGGAAAGCAGTATGGAGGTTCCTCAAAAGACTCCACATAGAGCTCCCCAATGACCCAGCAATCCCACTTTTGGGCATTTACCCAAATGATCACAAACAAGGCCACACTAAAGCTACCAGCACAACTATGTTTATTGCAGCATTATTTACCATAGCTAAGATCTGGAACCAACCCAGAGGCCCCTCAGTAGATGAATGGATCAAGAAGATGTGGTATATATACACAATGGAATTCTATGCCTCCATCAGAAAGAATGACATTTCCCCATTTGTTAGGAAATGGAAAGGCTTGGAAAAAATTATATTAAGTGAAGTAAGCCAGGTCCAAAGAAACATAGGTCCCATGGTTTCCCTTATTTGCAATATCTAGTATAGGTATGAGTCAAGCGGAAAAAGTCAGAGAATGTGATGTTAGGAAAACGAACCCTCAAATATGTATTTTAATGTTTCTGTTTCTTTCATGCATGTGTTTCTAATGCATTTATAAGATTATTTCTTTGTTGCTTTGTATGTCCCTCCCCCACAGTGTAACCCCCGCTTTTCACTATATTTGATGTCAGTATAACATGTGGAGGAGACGGGGACAAACAAGTCGTTTAAGGATTCAGGTGGACCTGTTGCAACAATGAGAAGTACAAAATGTCATGTCAAAACCAGCTTTACAATGTCGGTGGGGGGGGGGGGGGGGAGGGAGGGTATGATTGGGTGGGGGGGAGGGGGGAGGCTGGGAAGGGAGATGAAGGGTAAACAAAGGAGGAGGCTGCAATGCTTGGTAAGAAATGTATGCATTATCCTGCCCATGTAATTGTAACCCCTCTGTACAGTATGTTCTCAAATAAAATAAAATTAAATTAAAAAAAAAAATCTAGTGCTGAGCTCTACAATCAGGGCAAAGTTGGCAAAGAACTGAGTTCACTAAGGCCCTCCCTGGCTCTTACACTTGGTTCAGGAGGCCAGTGATACAACTTTTGGTCACAAGCCCTCCACCCTGAAATAATGGCTGTTGTCATTTTTGACTACTGTCATTAGGGTTGCTTCCGTTTCTGGTAACTGAACTCTTCCTAGATTCCCCTCTCCTCTCCTGTTCTTTAACATAGTGGTTTGTGGCATTCAGAGTGAAAATTGTAAAGAGTACATCATTACAACTTCACAAAAAAGTCCTAAACCAGTGGCATGGTACACACCTGTAATTCAAGAAGCTGGTTCAGAATAAGTTTGAAACCATCCTACATAGCGAGACCCTGCTCAACAAAAATCGCATCTAAAAGAAATGTAGAGGGACCCTGAATTTAGGATTTGCAGCTGGCACAAAGCATTTTCTTGGCAGGAAGCAGCTCTTCATAACACTCAAGTTACCCAAGGTTTTTCTCAACCTCTTCAGAGCCTCCTTTTGCTAACATCTGACTACAGATGCCAAATTCCAAGTACTTTTCATTGCTGTGGATGTCTGTCTTACTTTGCTGGTTTCCCTGGAAAATGGAGAGGCTATTCCCATTTTTCAAGGTGACTCTGCCTGCTGTCATTAGGAAAGCACCGAACCCATCTTGCTACACATGTTTTCTACGTGGATAGTTCAAATTGTACACAAAGATTAAGATCTGGCCCATGTCCACAGTAGGCTTTACAGGGAGACCAGAAGCTATTTCCTTTACTTCTGCTATGGCACTGAAATGTTAGGTGGATTGGTCTAAGTTAACACACAGCGCCTCATTGTCATATTATCACACAATGATAATACACAGCAGAAAGTAATCACCAGAAAAACAAAACAAAACAAAAACACCCCAGAATTTTCTCAATCTACTGCTCAATGCAATGAGATCACTCACCAAGGATGTGGTCTTGGGTGGTGTTGACTGTATGCTACACATGGAGGTCCGTGACACAGGCTCTGCCACAGGAACTGGGGCAGTGACTTTAGATTTCTGAGAAGAGAAGTAGGTGTTAAGAATAATTTTGGAAACACAAAGTTAATAAAGCTGAACCACAACGCACCAAAGCTGTAAGCATGAGTCACTTGAATGCATAAGGAGTGTTGGATGTATACATTCTGGCATGTTAAAAGGCCTTGGCCACCATTATTTTTGAGTTAAAGATTCAGATTCCACATCTGTGAGAGGAGAGCAACAATAATATTACAACTCAAGGGTTGATAAGAAACTTAAATGAGAGCAAATGTGAAGTGCTCTGGATAGTACCTGGGAATATAGAAAAAGTCAACCAACTTGAGAAATCATTATTGTGATTATTTATACTCGCTATGTGATTATAGCTATTTAATAGCATAAAATGTATCTACATTTTATTTTATTTTGTGTAATAGTACACAAAATGTGTGAGTACATTACCAATAGCATATACAAATACAAGGAAGTAATATTGGATGGGGGTTCTCATAGTGGTTCCTGGACCACTCAGGTAGCTCCAACTCCACTGTGAAACTTTTAAAAAATGCAGATCCTTAGGCCTCCACCCAGTGGAACCCGGTAATCTGTGTTTCACTAAACCTCCCTGAGATTCTGATGCATACTAAAGTTTAAGAATTACTGAATTATCACAGGAGTAACATTTCTAATTGTTTTTAATTGAGACATTTCACAGAACCTTCCCTACATGCAAGGTACTCAATAATCACTAATGGGACAGAATCTCTCATCTCCAGGAACATTATACCTATTTCAAACTGCATATAATGTTAGAGGCAAAAAGGGACCAATATTGCTAAAAACTTGTTACAAATGTTTGCCAGAGATATATTAAAAATATAGCCAAGCACTAGTGACTCATACTTGTAATCCTAGCTACTCAGGAGGCTGAGATCTGAGGATCATGGCTCAAAGCCAGCCCAGGTTGGAAAGTCTATGAGACTCTTATCTTCAATTAACCCCCAGAAAACTGGAAGTGGCACTGTGTATCAAAGTGGCAGAGCACTAGCCTTGAGCCAAAAGGCTCAGGGACAGTGCCCAGGCACTGAGTTAAAGGCCCACAGCCAAAAAAGAAAAAAGTAAAAGAAATATATATGTGTGTGTGTGTGTGTGTGTGTGTGTGTGTGTGTGTGTGTGTGTGTGTGTGTGTGTAAGACAGAATAATGGGCTATATATATGTGTGTGTATATATATGTATATATGTGTATATATATACACACACATATATATGTATATTTTTATACTAAATACTATAGTATATATACTATATATATGTGTGTGTATATATATATATGTATATATATATATACACACACATATATATATATATATATATATATATATATATATATAGCCCATTATTCTGTCTTTTTAACGTGGAGATTTTGTTTTGCATTTTCCAAGATGTACTTTCTTTTCCAAAGCTAACCCTGGTGTTCTTGCAACTTAAATCCCATGATTATTCCTTCAAGAAACTCTCTTTGCTATATATAGTTACTAGCAGCCTCTTTAAAAAGGGTGGTATGACTAAGAGAAAGAAAAGCAGAAGATAAAAAACACAAGCCTTAAAAGGATGAGTAAGACTTTCCATTTTGGGGAAATGATTATTGCAGATAGAAGGGTCTGGATGTGAAAAACCATGGAAATACAGGTGGTTTGCCACTGATTGAGATAAAGGACACACTGGTGGGAAAGGAAGCTGGACCTAGAACACTTCAAGAGAGAACTTTTCTTTCCTAGTCAGTGGGAAGCTCCTGGGCTGGAGCAGGGGAATGATATGACTAGCGGCCCTCTGAGAAAGAACAGCTCTGGTGGGCAGGAAGGAGGGTGGCAGGGATTCTACAGAAAGGCCAATGAAATCCTCAGGTGAAAGCTGGTGGCAGATTTAAGCGGTAAGTTACATACACAGACAAAGAAAAAGAGCATAGTAAAGAGAGTTTCTTGAAGGAATAATCATGGCATTTAAGTTGCAAGAACATCAGGATTAGCTCTGGAAAAGAAAATACATCTAGGGGGCTGGGAAGGTGGCTCAGTGGTAGAGCGCTTGCCTTGCATTATGAGGCCCTGGGTTCGATTCCCCAGCACCACATAAGCAAAAAGAAAAAAAGCTGGAAGTGGCGCTGTGGCTCAAGTGGTAGAGCGCTAGCCTTGAGTTGAAGAGCTGAGGGACAGTGCCCAGGCCCAGAGTTCAGGCCCCACGACCGACAAAAAAAAAAAAAAAAAAAAGAAAATACATCTAGGAAAATGCAAAACAAAAACCTCCATGCTAAAAAGACAGAATAATGGGCTTTTAAAAAATATCAACTCCTTCATGCTAAAATGGTTTTGGTTTCACATACTTTAAGATTAAAAAAATATATATATAACTCCCTCAAACATAGAGATTTATATTTTCAGAAACATACTTCTGTTTTTTCAGTTGGCTCAGATTGCTTTTCTTTACTTTTCGACTGGTCAAAATCTTCTGCAAGTTCATCAATGAGTTCTGATTCACTCCGGGGCTGTAACATAAGAAACACCGTATATTATGAAGTGAATTTTTATTGTATAAAAAATATTTTCATAGGGCAATATGCTGTTCTTTCCTGGTTAACACATATTAGAATATATTGGGATCTAAAGCCAAATATCCACAGAGGATCTTTTCCTTTGTCAGTGGAAGATAAAAATGTCAGGCAACGAGTAAAGAATACTAAATATCTCAGTGCTACCAAGTGTTAATGGTTTCTTTATTCAAAAGTCATTCTGAGACTTCTATTTCAGAAGGTATTTTGTTCAAATAAAATTTCCTGTTCTCTGCAGGGAAGCCTTTCCTTTCTGAATAAGTCAGAGAACTCACAAATCATGCACTGCCTTCCTGCTTGCAACAGAAAAGATTCTGGCAGTGAAATTTCATTTAGGGTATATGGATATTTTGACTTAAAAAATAGCCTTTGACAGACATGTAATGCAACAGCTGGGTTCCAGCAAGGACAACCTGAGATGTGAGTCGCAGACTTGCTATTTTCTAGCTGTGTGCCTTTGTGCTACTTACATTAATTCTCTGTGCGACTCACTGGAAAATGGGAATCACTGCTGTCCTCATTCAGCGAGGACTCAGACAGCCTGGAAAGCAGTTATGCATGTTGTGCATACAGAAAGTGATTCATTCATGCTGTAATTGGCATTGTGATAGGAAACCAGTTTCTTCCACTTGAGGCGATATAACATAGCTAAAAGCATTTCTAGTATGCTGTGAATAGGTCAAATGTTAACATTATCTAATTTAATGGCACTGGTTCCTTATATTCACTGAAAATTTCTTAGAAACTCAGAGCCTAGTAATAATTTGTAACAAGAAATATCACTAAAATGTAGGAAAAGGAGTCAGAGGCATCAGCCAAGTATCCCTTCAGAAGTTCCCTCCTCAATACTAAGTTGGCAAATAAATCTCCATAGTGAACTCTGGCCTGTTAAAATTATTTAAATTTATGCTTTTCTAAAGTATTAGAAAAATAACTTTCTATTTTCCAACCTTGGATTTTTCTTCAGGCTCTGGCAATAGTGGTTTTCCATCTTCATCCTATAAATGAAATTGGAAATGCACTAAATAGGCAATTTTGCTTTTACATACCATTAAATTTGTTTTGCAGAATTCCAGATGAGCTTTTCCCCCCTTAAGTTTGACTGAATTTATATTTTATATTTACTTTTTATTTAAAGAATCAGAACAAGGAATAGGTCAACAGATTAAATGTTCCCAAGTATGAAGTTTATTTACTTTTCACTGAAAGTAACTATCTGTTAGGAATAAATTAAGAGGGAAAAAAGTCTTTGGCAATAAAGATACAATTATGTTAATGGAAGGTTCTTTTAAGGTTCAACTCTCCATTATAGAGAGGTGGATATCATTTCTGTAATAAACATTGTGTAGCTTTTGAATATGAGGTTTCACAATTTAGAATGTATCTAAATTGTTAGCTTTCATATATAAGCTCATGCAAGAATCAAAGCCATTTCCCATCATTTATATGGATGATTTCCAAAGAGAAACTACAGGATCCATCCCCCTAACAGTGTGATTATCCAGCTAACTAGCTGTACATTTCCATCTACCTCCTAGAAAATGAATGGGTGCTTTTATCTTCAAATTACTCCATCCTCTTTAAAATTAAATAGCTATTTTAAGCATTGCTAGTTGTTGAAACACTTGAATCAGTAGAGTTTTGTTACCAAAAATTAATTGAACAAATTAATAGATTCATTTCAATCTTTTCACATATGCGGATAAGGAACTTTGACCATATTCTAGGCCTTCTGTTATTCTCCCTTCCCTCTCCTCTTAGTCTGCTTTCCTCTCCTGAAATAGGTAAATCTGTAGGATTTTTTTTTCTTTTTTTTGTACTGGGGACAGAACTCAGGACTGAGCCACATTCCCAGTCACTTTGGTTTAAATTTGCTTTTCAGAGAGAGTCTCAAGGTAATTTCTCCTAGCATCTTTCTAGGCATGTACTACCTACCATCGATAGGTCCTTAATCAATGGGAATTTTAATGTCCTCATGAAGCTAAGTGAAGACAAACCGGCCTTATTAAGAGCTTTAACTGCAGAAAGCAGAGGAGAAAAGGTCCCGGCTTTTCAGAGTGAATATCCGAAACGGGACAGGTGTTCTGAGTGTAAAGCGAGGACAAGTGTGCTTGCTATTGTGCAGTGCAGAAGAATGTTTACCGTGACGGGTTTTAGTCTGTACTCAGATGGGACTGTCTCATCATCCTCACCGCACTTTTCTAGTTTTTCTTCTTTAGCTTTTGCCTGGTAGAAAGAGAGGGAGAGAAAAGAGCAGTTGAACAATGCATATTCAAAGGGATGGCGCCACTTCCTTTGCATACTTTACACGAACACCCCAACATGAGTCAAATGAGAGTCTGGAAGAGCACGGCAACCTACAAAACACGCGGCCATGGTGAGCAGCTATGAGCCAGACAGCACAGGGTGAATGGAGAACAAAAATGAGTGTCAGCGGCATCCTGTTCTGCTTTCAGGCTCTCAGAGCTTGAAATGCCATCTAGCCTTTGTTTTGCTTTCCTGAGCTGTGCAATATGGCTATCACTTGACTCACTGATTTGGGCGGATCACCAAAGAAAAGTAAGTAAAAGACCCCAAGAGGATGGTAAGTACTGTTTGGGAGTTAGTTGCAGTTATTTTGATAGGTTCCATCTGAGACAGTTATCTAAGGAGGGGGACTATAACCAGTTTTCCTACCCAGAGAAAGAAGAGAAATAGAGAAGCAACTGATCACTTACGCATGACGTATACATGTATACACCGACTTATACATGAGTAACTGTTTTTTAACATCTTAAAAAGGTTTCCCTGCAATAACACCAGCACATCCCTGGGCTACTGAACCATAAACAACTAACGTAGTAGTAATAAAAGTGCAGTTTTATAGTGGACCACTGACTCTCAGAATATAACATTTGTAATTTAATCTATAGGTACATAGCTCAAGATTCCACAACATGTAATATTTAAATCTATTCTAGGAGATTCCTTTAGGCAAATTCCAATTCAACTCACTGTTCCTATCTATACATCAGTAGAAGATCATAGTTTCCTATTGGTTAATTCTTTGATTCATTGAAAAATGTATTAAGCAATTTCAATGAACTAGATACTACATTCAGTATTGAATGATAAGATTTATTTTCCTATAGACTAATTCTACTAAAGGATGGAAAGGATTATGCATCTTTTAACATTTCTAGTTTCATGTAAAGGCAGACTATGGAGAAAGTTCTATTATGAGGGAGCAATACCACCTAATTCAAGGATTTGTGAGGTCTCTGGTCATAAAAGCCTTTGTGAGCATCAAGGGGCATGTACATCTTGAAACTGTCCTGTTACATTCTGGCTGCCAACAGTGACAGGTACATTCTCTGCTATGCCTTTTCCTTTTTAATCTTTTTTTTTTCCTCTCATTATTCACTGTGGTTTGTACATAAGACCCAAACAATGGGAAAATGCCTACTTTGAAAACAATCCTGGACAAGGTAAAATGAGAGAGATCCAAAATGAAGTGGTCGCTATAGTCTAAGTAAAGATTTAATTTATGGTATGATGTATCCTAAGAATACTGAGTTAGGTGGGGGCCTGTTCTCCGGAACATTCCCTGGTTTGCACGAAGTGTGCTCTAGTGGAGGCATGCTGGCGTGGCAGGAACTCCTGGAGGAGCTCCTCAACTTACACCAGACTATTTCGGTAGTAAAGAATCACCCTCCGGTGCTATGACTTCAACTCACGGATTTAGGGGATTAAAAGATCAACAAAAGTGGGTAAAACAATTATTTTGCTAGAATTGTCATCTACTCCTGCAGTAAGGTTTTCTAGAAAAAATCCATACTTTCCCTGAACTACTTAGCCACACTTTTTTTTTCAACTCTACTTAGCTGATTTCAGTCACTCTAAATTTCTTTTTGTCATAGGATTTATATCCCATTTATATCTTCCCTCCACACAGTTATTGTTTTACTAATCAGCGAAATGCCTGAGGCAAAAGTGACATTCACCCCTGGCTACCTAGGCCTCAAAAGATAGAATCATAACCTGGTCTTCCCACAGTCCCCAGGCTTCTGCCAAGAAACACCTTCCTCTTGAGGATGTGACTTCTATTCGGCTACTCTTAGTAATCCTTAAATTTTTTCATCCTGACCCACAGTTTAATTATACTAAATTTCTATGGTACTAATTTCTATGGTACATCTCACAGTGTTCTAGTCAAAGCTCCCCTTTCTCCCCAGCACATTACTTGATCCTGGAGGACAGGACGTCCTTCTCCTGCTCCTTTGTGTTCATCATCCAAGAGCTTATCATGCCACACTGTGCCCGGTGAGCCCTCAAAGAAAGTTGAAGATAGAAGTTGGCCCATCTTGGACCAGGGCCAACTCAGACTCTGAGAGGTCCAGGAGGTCAGGGAGATTCCTCCAACCGGAAGTGACATCAGACAGAGGCATTGTGACAGAGAAACCTGTCAGCTCCCCTTCCTTAAGGTGCTAGGGTAGGGTGCTTGTCAAGGATCCTGGCTGCATTTACATCTCCCCTTAGGACAATTGTCTCTTTTCTTCTCTCCCCGCCCCCCCCAGAGAAACACGTTGAAAAATTCTACAGGTTTATAACTTAATACAATAATACTCACTATTATGTAAAACCAATAACTAATAAGTAGAAGTAAAGGAAGAAGAATATAGCAATTTCTGTGTTGGCTGATCATCAAACACTTTTGTGATGCTAGATCACTGAGATTCTGCTACACTAAAGAACAAAGTGAGAATGCTACTAAGAGACTATTCCTAGCTGTTGGTATATCAAAACTTCTCACTGTTTAAATATGAAAGCAGCATAAAAATAGATGTCATTCCTTAATGGTATATGCTTATAATATAAGGGACTGCACTATGACATGCCCATACATGTGCCAAGTGCACTTTAAATACATTTATTCACCCTTCGTCCATATTCCCAGCTCATCCACACTAGGTCCGAGCTAACTGGCTCAGAAGGCTTGTGAAGTCTTGGTGGGTGATGAGCTATCCCTTCTTTAGCTTCATCTCTAAATGTTCAAGAGATCCAGTTTTTGAATAATTGTGGCTTTTGTTTTGATTTGAAACACGTTTTCAACCTCTTTCCCCAAAGTACTGTAAGAACTATCATCCTGCTATATCACCTTCTACTTCCTTATGGAGACATTCCTAGCACCATTCTGAAAATACAAATTAACAATTTCATGAGAGGAAACGTCTCTCTTTCCCTCTGCCTCTTGTTATCTTGTTTAGTCAGGTGCCATATATTCTTTAACAAAGAAGATTAGTGTTCATTTTAGATATTTAAATTGTAGGGTTTTTTTTTTTAAAAAAACACTCACGTATTCTTCTTGGTTGCTAACTATCGATCAATAAATTCTGAAATTAACCAGATTCTGAAAGTAAGGTAGAATGAAAAGTAGCTCATTTCTGGTCACCAACAAAAATTACAACTATGAAAGAATCCTAAACATATGGCAGACATTCAGTTTTGCAAGCTGCAGATGAACACATTTTAAATATCAACCCCAGTACCTCATCAACTTCCTTAATGGAGCTGAGGTCGATCTCAGGGTCTGATTTCCGGGTACCCAGTGAAGCTGACAGAGCCTCAAGTGCTTGATCACTCATGGCATCCTGTTAAAAAAAAAGAATGTGCATGAAAAAAAGCACAACTTAATCATCCATTCTATTCTTAGTAAAACCCACATTTTAAATACATACGATCAATTGTGAACTGGGGAAGTACTTTAGGAAGGCAATTTTATGTGAAAACTAAGCAAAAGAGAAAAAGGAAAAAGAACTTACCAAGGAATAAAAATTGGGCTAAGACCCGTTCCCCTAGTAACAGTACCCTCTAGGGGTACACTTCACTTCTTGTGTAAGTGAAAAGGATAACTGTAATAATAGTATTATTATAAAAGCGTCTTATCAAAATAGCAGCTACAAGTAAGCAAACATTCACTACCTTGTTTTTCTAAAACAGTGTCTCCAAAAATTGCAGGCTGACAGCCTTCTCCTTCAGCAAAACAGCTAAGCTCAGGAAGCAGAGAGACTTGTGGCCTTTCTGCTCACGCTGGAGGCAATGGCTCCTGGTTGTAGGAGTTTTCACTCTCGGGGTGTGGTGTGCACCACTGTTCCCACAGCCAGACTGATAAAAATAAACTACCCATTCCAGCAGGGGAGAGGCAGAAGCAGCTCTGATAGAAACTGTCCTTAGCATTATCTAGACTATTTGCGCATGACACATTGTGCTCTCAGGCTCCTAGGGCTGCAGGATCACTTTTCAGAATTTGTGAGAATTAGGTCAGACTTCATTGTGTTTAAGAGAGGTGAACGGAAACAACGATGACCATGACCCCTAAGAAACAAACTCCTTTAGGAAATCAAGCTTATGAACGTGTTCCAAGAATGCAAGTCCTCTCTGTTTTCTGCCCTTCTGTGTGTTGTAATGGTGAAATGGTCTTGGATAACCATCAAGAAGACTATGCTGGAAGCATTCTCAGGGGGTTGTAGAAACGTGAGATTTGCCTGATGATGATCAATATAGTGCTCAATAGCTTCACTCTGGCACACAGAGCCAAGCTTTTTACCAGAGGTAATATAATATTCCAATTATCCTGAATATGTAAGAATTAACTCAGAAAAGTATGGACTATCAGATGGATCAGAATTATTTTCAAAGAAATAATTATCAATACCTCTTCCACCCTTCTTTTCTTTTCCTGGGGTGGAGCAGTACTTCTGACTACCCCAGCTGATTGAGCTTTTAAAACCTCTCCTGTGGATTTCTGAAAAAGAAAATACAACATAAAGTGTTTACACATAAGGGAGATTTATTCAGAGTAACCCAAATTAAAGGGTTGTGCTTTTCAGGGTCAAGATAGTTTCTAACAAGTTCTCTCAGCAGTAGTAATAGCAATACCTCTGACTCAGTTTTCTTTCCTTCAGTGGTAGGAGAACTACAGGTGAAATCAGATGACAAGGCATCTATGGCATCATCTGGCCCCATAGATTTCTAAAGAAATAGGATAACAAAGGTAACACAAGAAAGATGTGTAGTAAAAGAAAGAATTACAAATCCATCAAATGAAGGCTGTACTTTTGCATTCCCTGGCTACCCAAGTTGATACATGAGTGAAATAGGAGGGAATGGGTGGTCTGTAAAAATTATTTTTCTCTTTTCCTCTTCCAAACGAATTACATATTAGAACGTGCTGGTTCCCTTGTCATTAACATTTATTCTTATCTTTATGCCTTCTTGCTTCCATTTTCTTTCCTCTCAAAACAACCTGAGACCATGAGCAACAAGACAAACCCACAGACACCCGCTTTTTATGAAAAGACAAAAACATGTGATAGAGAGGTTAGTTGAGTTGTGAGCCCCAAATATGGGCTTGTTAGTCCTATTTCCTCAACCAAAGATACAGACAATATTGATTTACATCTTGGAAGATATTTATGTAAACTCACCGGAGAGTCTGGAGGAGGCCCAGTGATCCCTTCCTTTTTCTAAAATAAATGTAATTTGATAAAGTTGAGAAGGCACAATCTATGATAGGCTAACATATTCTCAGTATGATAAACTGAATTGAACCCACCCCCTGTCCAAATTGCTATGTTGTCCTAACCCTACTGCCAAAGGTGAAATCATCAGGGTAGGTGTAAATCCAATGTGACTGGGTATCCTTAGCAGGGGGGAAACTTGGAACCAGAGAAACACTGAGGGAGATAATGGGAAGAGACTTAGGAGGAAGATGGCTATCTACAAACCAAGCAGAGAAGGCTACAGGAGAGCTTTCTCTCAGTAACTATCAGAAAGAACTAACCCTACTGAGACCCTGATTGTAAACTTCCAGCCTGCAGAACCATGGTGTTGAAGCCACCCGGTCTGTGTACTTTGTGAAGGCAGCTCTATCAAACTAATATAGACAGTGAGTGTTTTAATGATAAAGTTTAAATTATGAAGATACTGATAGGAAATGATATTCCAAGATGAAAACAATGAAATTAAATCATTATTCAACTTACAGCCAAAAGTTCCCTATATTTGGGAGGAATTGTGACTTCTCTTTTACCCAGTTCTTCAATGTTGGTCGAAAACATTGGATCCTATAAGAAAACCACATGTAGAGATATTCTGTAACTAATCAGCTGACAATACATGAAAACAAAGTGCTAGTACTATTCTATTATTAATTATTGGAACTACTGAGGAACACTATAAATCAGTAAGAGCCAAAATTGTACACAACTCTGAGTTCTAAATTTATACAACACCCATATTTAACTGAAATGTTAGAAAATGTTAGAAATACTATGCTAAAGTTGAATTTTATATTAAAATGCATTTTGTGTTTAATATCTAATATTTCCAGTACTTTCAAAGTACATTATGTTAGTAACATAATGAATATCTGTAGAACCCAATACACTTTATTGGGTTTATATTACTTCTAATGTAAAAACAAAAAAAACCAAAATCATATTTAGAGTGCATGTCTCCTGCTTGGCCCTCTCTAAGTTCTGTACTTTAGATTTACCATCTTAATCACATGAAGTTGAACATATTTTTTATGAATAATGTCACATGGACACATTTTTAAGTAATATACAGCATTACTTTGTGTATTTTCAAATGTTATATAATGGCATGTGTTCCATATTACTTTGTATTTATTTTGTTCAAAATTAGAATTTTTTATAATGCTGATACGCAGATAACCCATTTTTACCACTATAAAGCATTGCATCAAATCCTCTTACCTGTTTTTTAAGTAATAATTTTATTGTTATTATTAAGCTGTTATACAGAGGGGTTACCATTTCATAAGTCAGGTAATAAGTGCATTTCTTTGTGTGGATAGTGTCACCCCTTCCTGCTTTCCCCCAGTTTCCCTCTCCCAGCCCTGCCCACGAGTTACATAGGTCATTCTCACATAATATATACTCAATAACATGATGGCATGTGTTTACCAGTGCTTCTTCCTTTTCTATGCCACCTTTACCCTCCCTAAAAGATAAAAAAAATAGCAAAAACAAACACTACCACCCTCACCAACAATAACAACAAACCAATGTTTCTATTTCCTGGAGTTTGTTTCAATAAATAGTATTTTAAATGTTCAGGGAAGTTACACCTTTGTGTTCCGCCCCAAAGGGTATCCTCCTTTAGTCTGAATACAACTCTTTCTTACCAAATACACTATATTTCAGTGGCAGTCTTAACACTTGCTTGCTCAATCAGTGTAATTTTATAGGTAATATATAACAAACCTCTTCTATTCTCAACACTGACTTTTAGTTACCATTATCAATAGTGACACACCAGTTGCTTCTGCGAAAACAACACAACACTAGATGTACTCTTGTACTTCATAATCATGGCCTTTTATAATCTATATACTGAGTATGAACCTTTACAGATATCACATCACATACCGAAACTACTGGCCCAGTATATGGTGTATTGTTTTCATTAGTTTCTTCAGGTTCTCCTAAAGTGTCTATTAGGTCATCCAAAGCAGCATCCAGGCCTGACTAGAAATGAAAGAGCACAGATACAAATTGTTAAACATATTTCACCATGGACTTTCTGACCAACCAGAAAAATCATATGCCATAAGGTTTCTAAATTCAAAAATGGTAAAAAGTCAGACCTAATTTTGTTACTGATGTTTCCAGAGTACAGATACTGGGTTGGAAACATAAAAAGCTACTATTCAGCTAAAAATCATAATTTCAAACAAGTACAATGTCATTAAGTACATGAACAAATCGATGAGCTAATTAAAATTGCTAATCCAATGTACTCACAGTTAAAAAGAAAAAAAGAAATACATGAAATGATGGCCATATCCCTAAAATGCATGTTACAGTTACAAGAACTATTTTCTTCTTGCAATATCGCTTAATCAAAGTAATCAGTGAGAGGATGTCTTTACCTTGATGAGGTAAAGAGTAACTTACTGTGAATAATAATCTCATTTGAAGGAGAAAAAACAACAACAATCTAGGGGAAGCCTTTTTACAATTTAACTCAGACCAAAAGTGAGTGCTTAAAATCTTTGCCTTCTTAAAGTACAACTACTATATTCCCACAATAACTTTAGAACTCACTTGATCATTGATGTGACCAATAGGATTTATATACTGTCAGCTTTATAGTAATTTTATGAGAATTATTTAGTGATACATCTGGCTAAAGAAGGTATATTTTCAGTAGAAAAATTAGAATGTAGCGAGGTGCTGGTACCTCACACTTGTAATCCTAGCTACTCAGGAGACTGAGATCTGAGGATCATGGTTCAAAGCCAGCCTGGGCAGGAAAGTTTTAAGACTCTTATCTCCAATTAATGACCAGAAAACTGGAAGTGGGGCTATGGTTCAAAGTTGTAGAGTGCTAGCCTTGAGCAAAAGAGCTCAGGGACAGTGCCCAGGCCTGAGTTCAAAAAGAGCTCAGGGACAGTGCCCAGGCCTGAGTTCAAGCCCCATGGCTGACAAAAAAAAAATTAGAATGTAAACTCTGTAAGATGAAACCAGAGTTTCAAAGCAGAGGGCTCTAGTATAAAATTTTATAAACAAAACTGTTAATATAACACTTTTAACCAGTCACATCCTCTTAAAACAATAATTAGAATAACTCTTTAAAGTTATCCATCTCATACTATTTCCCCAAAAACAAAAATCAGGCTGAGATAAATATAGAGCAAAGGACCACTATCTTTCCTAGATGCTTACTGAGATCGTCATACCTTTCCTGGTTTATCCGGTTTGGAGTTGACTGGCACTTCAGGAGTTAATGATTTCTTTTCTTTTTTCTGGTGAGAGAGTTTAAAAGGACATGAGACAAATTCCTTTCACCTCCCTTTATAAAGCTCAATTCTATGACATTTTAAGATGAATTCACTGTGATGTTAGTAGCATTGATCAGGTACTTCACATGTATTGTACACTAGATATTTTGATGTATCTCTTAGATCCCTTTGTCAAAGCTGCTTAAATAATATTAAGCCCACTAAGTAATAGGGAAAACAATTCTCAGAGATTATTTATCCTCAGGAACAAACTAAAGTAACTAAGATTGCCTCTTGATTCTCCATGTTTCACTGGTAGTCTTTGCAACACATAGGAATTCTTTCTGTGGGCTACCATTCTTACTGTTGTGGTCTAGATCTTTGACCTGACACATCAAATCCATCACATCTCTTATTTTGTTATCTTGCCACTCACTCTTTATTCCCCTGAAATAAGTTTCTCTCCCCATCACCATTGCTGTCGGATGCCAGTAATTTTCCAATTTACAACCCCCTTACTTTATCTGGACACAGTCTCCGGATTAGTTATTGAGAGCATCCTTCTCTTGATTCCCAGCTTTCACAGTTGCCTTAGTCTCACACCATTCTGATTGTACCGGGTATTTGTGTCCTTTGTTCTCTGTCACCTCTGGCATCTTTTCACAAGTTCTGCATCACCCTGCCAAGTGCTGACAGTCCTGTCCAAACTTACTCTCTAGGGCTAGAGGCCAAACGTTTCTAGGACTTGGCAGGAACTAAATAGATGAAATTGATGGGCTTAAAACAATAGGGGATTGGGTCTCATCTGAATGTATCCTTATTTTGTCAGCAGAGCACACAATGCCTGGGTTTGTTCAGCAGTGATTAACATGGATGCCTGCCACCCTTCTCTGGTCTGTTGGTTTCAAAGTTTGCGAAGTAGGGATAATGAGGGTCTCTACTTAGCAATTGTGAGAATTTACATAAATTAATGTGCATCAAAATAGAAAAACCAATGTCTGGTACTTGGTAAGCACTACATAAGTACTTGCTATATAATTAATTGATAATTGCTATATAATTGATAAATGGTTGCTGTGGTCATGATATTATCTACTATACCAGGGTATGAGCCTGTGATAGATTACAGGCACTCACTCTCAAGTGCTGACCTCACATTTGTATGAACCTGCTAGTGAGTGTCTCTTTAAATTTTGTGTGAGGTGCACCTCTTTTGCCTTATTTTAGGGTTAAAAAATCTAGTTCATTGAGATCCTAAGGCTCCCAATTGTCTTAGATTTTACATTATCTTTGCCCATTTTTAGTTAGTCCTTTCCTAAAACCTTAAGTTTTTCCATCTTACAGTGCTCTTGCATAACTTGGCACTTTCTTACTCTGTTACAGTTCTACTTTAGGCTATCTAGAACTTACTAGGTCTACTGAAAGAGCCCAACCCAACCTGCTATGTTCCTTTCTCTACCTATGAACTCACTTTAACATTCTCCTTAGCAACTTTAACCTGTCTTTCTGGTCTTACAGCCCCAGCCCCACCCTTCCCCTCCCCGTGTTCTTCCACACTGGAACACACTCTGTCCAGAGTGCAGCCTGCAATCCCGCCTGTCCTTCCCAACCAAAGTGCCTAACCTCCAGGGGAACCACTTTCTCAAAATCAGAAAATCAAAAAACCTTTCTTAAAAACCTCCCTCCCCACAGGGGCCTCTTAATCTGCCTTGAACTATATAATCCCGATCATTTATCTTCTCCCAACTCTAGATGAGCCAGCCTACAGCTAACATGTCCTGTAGAGTGAACCACAGTGCTTAAAACTTGCAACATACTAAAATAAGAAGCTGAAGCTGGTAATTCATATTTAATGGAAAAAGAATCAGGGACAAAATAAAACAAAATGACTTGCTGCAAGTGAGAACACAAGTCTCTCCTAATTTTATCATGTTGTTTTCACTGATAAAACTGGCTAATTTACATCTAACATGAAACTTCAAATTCTGATTACATTTCAAAGTATATTCTAACATATTTAGTCCTTTGCCTTAAACTTATTGGTTTTCAAACCATTTCTGGCATGGGACCAAAACAGAAGGGAGTAACTGTGGGGTCAAAGTGGGGGCTCAAGGAAGTAAGCAAGTGACCTCTTGCAAGAAATACTATTTGAGGGATTTTGTTTTATTTAATTATTTTATTTTATTTGGAGTTTTTGGGCAAAATTTTTTCTTTACTCTATAAGAGATCTAAATGAGTTAGGAAAAACACAGCATGCCTTGTCACCTAATATCTGGGAAAGGAGTGTTTTTAGGGTGATAGGCCCTAACTTTCTAGCCTATACCTTTTCTATTTTGAGAAGCAAGAACATAAAACATGAAGACTGCTTTGTTTTTCTTTTCATTTCCGTCTTCTCATTGCTGTTTATACTGTGGACTGTTTATACTGTGTTTATACTGTAGCTTCAAATGGCCCATATGTCTTACAAATGGATGGTTAGATCTGGACAGAAAAAGTAGATCGCTTCTCATCTCACATCAGGAATTCTTCAAAAGCTCCAAGAAAGCTGCACTCACTCCTGAGAGGGCTTGGCAGTTATCCCCTGGAAACTTCCTACATCAGCAGCTACTGATGCTGTGAATATCTGTGATTTACTAGCATCCACATACTTGCTGGGGATATGCAAAGCTAAGAACAATGCTTATTCAGACGCTTATGGACCTTTTATAGGCTTTACTTCACACCTATGATGTGTGAATCAATACTAATTTCCTTGGCACTGATACAAGGCCTTTATATATTGTCAGGCACTCAATACGTATTTATTATGTGTCTTTTCAAAACACTTTAGTGTCTTCTTCACTTTATGTCATTCAAATGCATTATCTTCATTATAAAATGTCACACTGATACAGCATTTAGCCTGTACCATAAGTTACTAAGCATGTGTCTCTAAAATACAAACCTGGTAGGCACAGAGATTCATATTCTACCTGCTCTGGGTACTTACCTTATCATCTGCTTTGACTGGTGCTGCAGATACACCAGCAACAATAGTTTCTCCCCCAGCAGAAACATGGTCTTGTGATTTCACCTGTGACTGGAGATACAAGATGGACAAGACTAAGTATTTTTGGCCATTACTAAGATCATGGGTTTCAAATGTCACTGGTAACCTACCAGTGACATACATACATATCATGGATGAGGAATGTTTATTGCTCCAGGTACAGAGGGAGCATCACATGAAACTGGACTCAAAGCCTGTAGAGTTCTATATGTCATTCAAATAAGCAAATATCATCATTCCTGGTCTGTGTGTTTCAGTGCTCTGCAGTAAACCAGAACACACAGACCAAATATTATGGCTCAAATCAACTGTTACCCTGTGAGTTCATTTTGGCGAGTATTCTGATCAAAGAAATTAGAAATTGTGATTTGATACAAAAATCTCAATTTTACTTGCTGGCAACTAATTTTAACTAATTTTGAAGAGTACTGCAAGCCAAACATATATGCATGTGACTGCATTTAACTGTTTGTTCAGATATAAACTTGTGACCTCTGAAGCGGGCCTGGTTATCATCTTCCAAATGCTGCAAGAAGTTCTTTTCATGGTTGTTTATTCTCGTATGCGGTGATGGTTTTTAACTATAAAACTATAGGGTCAATTTTTGATTTACTGGCTTTGCAAGTTAATCTATTTTGTAATCTGTTTCTAAAAATGTTTCAAGGCTTCCATTTAAAGAAGTAGATAAAGCTGGGCATGCTAGTAGTCCAAGATGATTGGGAGGCTAAAGCAGTGGGTTACTTGAGCCCAAGTGTTCAAGACCAGCTTCCTCTGGGATACAATTAGACTCCATTTCACAAAAGAAGGAAAGATGATCACCAATGGCACAGAATAGAAGACCCAGGAATAAACATACAGACCTAAAACCATTTACTATAATATAGAATATTAAGAGAGCCCAAAACATAGACTGGAAGAAGTCCTCTTCAACAAATGGTTGTGGCAAAACTAGACGTTCCCATGTAGAAAACTGAAACTAGATCCTTATCCATCACCTTACACTAGCTTCAATTCGAAAATGGATGAAAGACGTCAATGTAAGACCAGAAACCAAGAAACTGCTACAGGAAGGAGTGAGGGGAAACATTAAGTCTCCTGGGCACAGGAAGGAATTTTCTGAGTAAGGAAGCATAGCAAATTAATGAAAGACTCGATAAATGGGTGTGCATCAAGCTAAAAAGTTTCTGCACAGCAAAGGACATAGCCAAGCTAAATAGATAGTTCACAGAAGGGAGAAGATTTTTGCCAAACACACATCAGAATGGCCAAATATCCAAAATACATAGAGGACTTCAAACATTAAAGCCTTAAATAACCAACAACCAAATTAATAAATGGGCTAATGAGCTGAAGAAAGTCTTCTCAAAAGAAGTAAAAATGCCCAATAGGCACATAAAGAAAAGCTCAATTTCTCTGGTCATAAAGAAAATGCAAATCAAAACCACATTGAGATTCTACCTCAAGAATGGTCATTGTGAAGAAAACAAATGATAACAGATGCTGGTGAGGATGTAGCCAAACAAGAACTCTTAATACATAGTCAGTGGGAATGTAAACTTGTTCAACCACTCTGCAAAGCAGTGTGGAGTTTGTTTAAAAAAATAAACATAGAATTAACGTATGATCCAGCAATTACATTCCTGGGCATTTACCCAAAAGATTACAAATCAAGATACAGTAAAGCCAGCAGCACAACTATTTTTTACTGAAGCACTATTCAATATAGCCAATATATGAAATTAGCCTAGATGTCCCTCAATGGATGAATGGATCAATGATATTGTACCATTTAAGAGATGGAAAGACTTAGAAAAAATTGTGTTAAGTCAAGTAAGCCAGGCCCTGTAGAAGCAAGATTTAGCTTATAAACTCATAAGCAAATACATTGGGTGGTATTCAAGTATATACAAATGTATTAACTAAAAACAGGTAGATTCAAGGGGCAACTCAAATAATGTAATTCCTTATAAGGGAAAAGTCAACATTTAGCAAACTAAAACATCAGAAAGCAGGTACTCAAAAGGGTTGTGGTGGAGTCCAAGGGAAAGGGGTAGATAAATGAAGGTAGATAAATGAAGAGGAGAAGAAGGGGAGAATACAATAAAGAATTCAATGTACATACTACAAAATTCAAAAGAGCGAGGAAAGGGGTGGGTAGGGAAGAGGAGGATAAGGAAGGGATGGATGGAGAGGTGGGTAAGAATGTTGAAAGAGGTTACATTGATGGATATATTTTGTATTCATAAACTGCATCGTTATATGGCAACTCCATGGTAAAATAATAAAAGAGGGAGGTCAAAAAAAAGGAAGATGGACAGGCTGCCTATAATCCCCTAACTCAAGTTTACATAAGCTCAGTTCAAAGGAAACATCAGAACCTGTGCCTTACAGTTACAGTCATGGCTGGTCATTTCTGTATGGTGGGAGGAGGCTGTACTGTATATTTCCCTGAACTCTTCTGCCTTCCAAACCCTACATAAGCTCAAGCTCCTATGACACTATTTGCAAATCAAAGAAATAATAGCAACAAAGTCTTCCAAAGAAAATCATATACAGCATAATCCTACAGGTGCAACTCTGCAGTTCAGTTTGAGGAATAATATAAGCTAATTAATGTCAGCATTTTTATATATGTCAATCAGGTTTATTTACCTTTGGTTCTGTTGATTTCTCTGATGTAAGCTTCTCATTTGCTTTGGAAACTGCTTTTTCTTTATGTGCTTGCTTGCTTCCTGCATCTGGTACATGCTTAGGGAGGCTTTTTGGCTGAAAACACATAGATATGTGTGTATGCGTGTGTGCATGTGTGTGTGTGCGCGTGCGCGCGCGCGCGCACACACACACACACACACACACACACACACACTGTTAACACAGTGGGATGGTTTTGTTTGTTTTGTAGGTTATGGGGCTTGAACTCAGGGCACTGCCCTTGAAGGTTTTTTTTTTTTTTTTTTTTTTTTGCTAAAGGCTAGTGCTTTACCACTTAAGAGACATAGCTCCACTTTGGGTTTTCAGGTGATTAATTGGACATAAGAGTCTCACAGATACTCCAGCCTGCACTGACTTTGAACTGCAATTCTCAGAACTCAGCCTCCCGAGTAGATAAGGATTATAGGCTTGAGTCACCAGCATCCAGCTGTTTGTTTTTGCTTTAGGGTAGTACTTATAGCCTTGAACTTGCTAGATAAACTCTACTACTTGTACCACTTGAGCCACATCCCCTGCCCTCTGATATTTTTTTAACCTGATAATAACTTTCCTTTATAAAATACACACTATTCATAACAATTGTAGTACTTACAACTTTGAGTTATGTTAATTGGAATTAGTGTGATAAAATATGATAAAATTTCACTCTAGGATCTGGTTACAGTAGCTCATACTTGCAATCCTAGCTACTCAGGAGGCTGAGATCTGAGGATTGTGGTTCAAAGCCAGCCTGGGCAGGAAAGTCTATAAGAGTTTTAGCTCCAATAAACCACCAGAAAACCAGCAGTAGCACTGTGCCTCAAGTGGTAGATGGCTAGCCTTGAGCTGAAGAGCTGAGGGGCAGCTCCTAGGATCAGAGTTTAAGCTCCACGACCAACAACAACAACAAAAATTCACTCTACGAAAAAATATGAAATAGTAAATTTCCCCCTGACTCCCAAATCAGCAATAATCACTGGAATAAGTTGTAAATACCATTACTACCACAGGATGGCATCATTTTAGCTAAAAAAAATCTATTCAGCCATCCACTTTTAGAATTAGTCTCAAATGATGACTTTACTTACATGTTACCAAAAGACATAACTTTGTAATGGCAAGTCCTGGTGATAATCACTTACCTCTGTGTGTTCCTTTGGCTTTCCTTCTTGGGATTTTTTCTCATGGACCACAGAGGGCTGTTAATTTCAAAGAGTTTAAATCTCAGTTACACTGGGATCCACTGTTTTCACATTGCCAAACTAGTGATTAAAATTCCAATTAAATTACTCTATCTCAGGGAAAGCTTACTGAGACTGGGATCAGAGTAAACATGTGTTGTTTGGTCAAGAGTCACCCTACTATAGTTCTAGTAGTGGAAATTATCAGAAGAACAGTGAAAAACTGAGAAATTCATCTAGAAAATTGCTTCAAATACACCTTTCTCTAAGTTACTATCTGCTTTTCACAACTTGAAGGTAAATTAGCAAGTACAAGTCTGTCTACAGACACAGTAACTACAAGATTTGTTAAAAAAAACACTTCCTGGAATGCATAAATTTTTAGTCTCTTTTCATAAGAGCTGAAGAATAGTGTTCTTTCTTTAACTAATTTTCAAAGCTTTTCTTTTTGTTTGTTTCTTATAAGTAGAGATAAGTAGAGAAGATCCTATCATCAGAGACTCAATTCTTTTGAAATGTGGTAGATAACTAAAAGCACTTAGATGTGTAATAGAAGACAACTCTCACCTAGGTACTATATTTCTCACTCTGAAATCTACAACTACTATCACTAGGGGCCACCAACGTGCTTTCCATAAAATGAGGTAAGTCTTACCTTTCTATAAGCTCAACCTCATAGCTACTTACAGTACTTTGCCTAAGTTACCACTACCTTCCAAGGAGAAATCTTGTGTGTTTATTTAAATATTCACCTAAGTACTTGAAAAAATAAAGTACTGGTCTTTATTAAAGTGACAGATTTGTTGCAATACAGACACCCTGAGTTCTGTTCCCAGATAGAGGCAGAAAGGCTTTCAGTCTGGACAGCCACAAGTCAGGATCGCAAGGCAAGCTGCTGCCAAGAGAAGGTCCCCAAGTGACTGATAACCATCTCCATCAATCCAGACAAGTGTGTCAAGATCAACATGTCAACGAATCCTTGAAGTGTCTAGGTGCCAGGTTCAACAGACACATTGTTGTTGATGTCTCACTGAAATTATAATTGAATATTCACTGTCTTTGTCTTTCCTCTTTTACTCCTGTTACATTTTTTTTAATTTCACTTAAAAGTCTAGATTTGAGTAAATGGCTTCTGAAAGAGGTTTTGTTTTCCTATAAAACATTATATAATCTTTTACATATGCATGGATTTAATGTTATAATTAGTTTATTAATACCCTTTATAACCATTTGTGTAGGGTATACATTTTTAAAAAATAATTTCTTTTTAGTGCCAGTACTAGGGCTTGTACTCAGGGTCTCACGCGCTCATTTGGCTTTTCTCAATCACCACTCGCACTCCACCACCTGAGCCATGCATCTACATTTAGCTATTTTGCTGGTTAATTGGAGATAGGAATGTCTTGTATTTGTCTGCCCACAGATTTGTGTTGTGATCCTCAGATCTCAGACTCCCAAGTAGCTACAATTATAAACATGAGCCACCACTGCCTGGCTTTAAAAGTTTTATACACACACACACACACACACACACACACACATATCAAAAGTAGTTGATACATCCCTTAACTCTAGTATCAGGTAGGAAAATTGGTTTTTCATTATCATGAAAATGAATCTGAACAATTCATATGTAGCTTTAAATCATTTACCTTAGTTGATTGTGACTTCTCAGGTGATTGTGACTTCTCAGGTTGTGTTTTTGCAGTCTAAATACAGAAGGAAGGGAGGGAGGAAGGGTGAAAGGAGAGATAAATTTTAAATGGACATAGATCACCCAGATTATAATAGATTTTCTTTAACTAAGTAAGCTCAAAATTTTATATAAAATGATTTATGTTTATTATACTTTTCTTGGTCTTATTTTTAGATTAACACTTAAACACACTAATATTCTTCTTTCACTATTTATATGGCAGTTTATGTTTAATTTCTTACAATGTCTGTCAAAACGATGCAAGGATTCATTAATATTAACATCACAGCAAATACATAAGCAATATAAAAGTCTTCATCCTTCAAGGCCAAGAATATAGATTTCAATGTCACTAACCTGATCTTTCATCAGAGATATACTCAGTACAAGTTTTCCCTAAAGTGTGAAACAATGGGGTGGTAACAGAATGGAGGACACAGAAAGCAGTGAAGTCTTTAGTGGCAGAATGTGATTGATGAGTAGGTAGCTCAGTTTAGAGAAAGTCTGTGATGGCGTCCGGGCAGTACAGAAGATTGTGTCTTGCAATTATTAGCATGTGCTGAGTGGCTGCAGTAACCATTAGTAAGTAACAAGATGCCCTCGTGCAATGAACCACATCACCTGTTTTTTGTGTCTTTTCTTGTTAGGAGGATGTAGTCCTTCCATCTGTTTGCTGCTTGCCTAATATAAGAGCACAGCCCCAAACACAATGGTCAAATAAGTACATTTATGCAAAGGGCTAACATGTTTATATCAAGATCCATTCTACTTATCTAATGCATCTTCTCAATGCATTGTATGTAATTCCAAGAAGACACAGGTACATAACTTATAGGGTCATTGGCAAATGTTTCAGTGAGGGTTTACTTTTTTTTTCAGTGAAGATTTGTATTAAGAAATGAAAACAGGATCTGTTGAAGGGCACCTTTGGGAAGGCTTGGGCTAATAAGGGGTGGAGGATGAGAATGAATCTGGTGGAAGTTGTCTGTATGTATGAAGACAGAACAATGAAATTGCTGAAACTGGTTTAAGGAGGGAGGTAAAGGGCAGTTAGAAGGATGAGACTGATTGGGATATATGTGTATGTGTGTGGAAATGTCACAATGAATCTTCCCTCGTACAACTAACCTATGAAAAGAGACTTCCATTTATAGACTTATTTTCTAATTATTTTCATTACCTTTCTTTCTCTGTGTAAAGGCAGTCTAAGCAAGATTTTTTTTCTACCTATATTCCCACTATATGGATTCAATCTAACAAATAGTTGAAGGTATCATCACAAGTTTTCTGAAATTCTTCCAACATAACCTTCAACATTTTTGCAAACACTTATTGTACCTGTCATAGCCCTAAATGTAGATTTAAATCTACATTCCTAAGAATCCTTTCCTTAAAGAACTGGTTCTAATTACTGCTAGGGTAATTACTGAGTTTGGAACTACAGGCCACCTGTGCAAAAAAAAGTATAAAATCCCATTGAAGCTGGGTGCGGTGGCTCACACCTATCATCCTAGCTACTCAGGAGGCTGAGATCTGAGGATCACAGTTAAAAACTAGCCTGGGCAGGAAAGACTGTGAGACTCTTATCTCCAATAAACCATAGAAAACCGGAAGTGGTGCTGTGGCTCAAGTGGTAGAATGTTGACCTTGAGCTGAAGAGCTGAGGGACAACGCCCAAGCCCAGAGTTCAAGCCCTGTGACCGACAAAAAAAAAAAAAAAATCCCATTGACATGTATCCACTATTAATGTAGGTAGGATATGAAAATCAGAAATAAACTGACACACTCTTCTATCTCTTAATATTATCTGAAGTGATTAAAATGAAATATTTCATTAATTTATCTTATACTTTAGTCATGAAGCTATGTATTTCTTTACATAATGACCACTTATTATACTAACATGTGTGCTATTTTAGGAACAAATCCAAGTTCATGATCAAAGGAATATTTATAAGGAAATTTTAAGGGTTGATGGCTGTGGCTCAAGGCAGAGAACAGTTATCTAAGCAAGTGTGAGGCCCTGAATTTGAACCTCAATACAGGCAAAATCAAGAATTTTTTTTTTTTTTTTTGGGGTCCGGTCGTGGGGCCTGAACTCTGGGCCTGGGCACTGTCCCTCAGCTCTTCAGCTCAAGGCTAGCTCTCTACCACTTGAGCCACAGCGCCACTTCCGGCTTTTTTTCTTTTTGCTTATGTGGTGCTGAGGAATCGAACCCAGGGCCTCATGCATGCAAGGCAAGCACTCTACCACTGAGCCACCTTCCCAGCCCAAAATCAAGAATTTTTAAACTATAATCCTATCACAATGCACCACTGCTAATGAATTTCTGTTTGTGCTATCTGTTTATGAATCTTTTAGTTTATTCAAATAAAATTTGCTAAAAGTTTAACAAAGAAAATAAGCCAGGGGCTGGGAAGGTAGCTCAGTGGTAGAGCGCTTGCCTTGCATGCCTGAGGCCCTGGGTTCGATTCCTCAGCACCACATAAGCAAAAAGAAAAAAGCCGGAAGTGGTGCTGTGGCTCAAGTGGTAGAGTGCTAGCCTTGAGCTGGAGAGCTGAGGGACAGCGCCCAGGCCCAGAGTTCAGGCCCCATGACCGGACCAAAAAAAGAAAAGAAAAGAAGCCAGTTGGTATTATATTGATGTGAACCTATAACTTTATAATTTTGTAATCAATTTTTCTGCACAGAATTCTACACCACAATTAAGAATATACAATCACAGACACAAGTAATTTATAAAGCAATGTGTATTTAAATCACCAATTGCTAAACTTATTTTTAGTGGTGGTGGTGCTGAACATAAAATGTTCGTAAGTAATAGTGATTATCAATCATGTCGCTGATATCAGGGCATCCTAAGCTTTAGGTGTCAAACTCACTTAGTACTTATAATAACCCCATAAGACAGATACTATCCATATACCCATTTTACTGATGAGAACTAAAGGGTCAAGAAGTTAAGGTCCTGATTGCCTGTGACTGAGCTGGGTTTTTGTACTTAGTCACAGTGCTTCATTGTATCTCTTGTATTTGACTACCATAGTCACAGTGCTTCATTGTGTCTCTTGTATTAACTAATAGGTAACACACTCTGGGCATTGCTATGGGGCAGGCACTGTTCAGTATAAGCTTGTTTCTTTATGTAGTCTTCTAAACTGGCTTATAGTGATATACCTTCATAATGTACAAATAAGAAAACCAAAGCAAAGAGGGGCTAATGCCATACCTGGAAAAGAATAAAGAATCCAAGCTACGCTGCCAGACTACAGAGGTCAAGCTTCATTCTGGTTAGAAATCGTTTGATTTTCTATCTTACACTCATCAGTGTGAATACCAATTCCAATGTTTCAGAGGCAAGAGACACAGAACATAGATGGGGACATCTCATCCCTTTCAGAGAGAGGCCGGATTATTTGAAAGCATGGTTAGTGACAAGGATTTCATAGAGATATTTCCTTGAATTAGCATTTTTTTCCTTAAAAGCTCAAAATATTTAGAGTTAGAAACTTATCAGATTCAGTCTCACACACAACTCCAAGAGAAAGGTAGTGTCACTATTTTGACTTAAACATCAGAAGCACATGAAGCTGAAGACAAGGTGATTAAAGAAAATACTGTGACTGAAAAACACCTCATGGGGGGAAAAATGAGGCCCAAAGTGGCCCCAAGTCAGGCACTGGGGACAATTCATCACATGGCTTCTTGGTTTTGTCTCCCCCTCTTTCTTCTCTTTCCCCACACTCACCGGACTGCTAGGAATTCTTGTGATTTGATGTTTCATGACACCTGAAGTTGGCTGACACTTGCACTACAAAACAGGGCACACTTAAAATAGCGCTGGCACTTATGAGGAGACACAGGGGAATTCCAATCAGGCAACAAGGTAAAAAGTGAACTAAAGGGAAAAAAGGAAGTACTCTATTTCTAGCTCTCCTTTCCATTTCTTCTCTTAAGTTTTTATAGATTTCAAGTTTGATGAGAATTATTTCCTTTCATATGTTTCTCCTTCAGTCATTAAAGACTATTTCAAGATTAAAATAGGATTTGGCAACCATGGAGACTGGGGATGTGGCTCAGGGGGTGTGTGCTTATCTAGTACACATGATGCCTTGAGTTTGATCCCCAGCACCACCAAAAATAACATTTTTCACTTAATCTTTTAAACAAGTAGTGACAGTTAATAGATCATGCATATGTCATATGATGTCCATTTTGAATGAAAAAATTAATATAATGTAAAATACTAAAGGACAATAGAGCACTAGATTATTAAATATTAATTTAAAAATACAAATACAAATATTAATTAAAAATAAAATCATTGACACATAAGTGTTAGATTAAGAAAACACAACAATGTGTTTCCAGATATTTGCGATATCTACTTTTAGATGAGGCCACAGGATCCCTGATAGAAAAGCTACAGTGCTGCATCCTACAGGACATGAAATGACTGTGACAGCACAGTAGTGCAGAAGACAGAAAGTGAGCAGTGTTAGAGATTTTAAACAAGGTAATTTATTGGTATGATGGAATCTCTTAAAGATACTGTTAAAGAATACTGGTTAATAACAATGAGAGCACTGTGAAAATGCCTTCTGATTTAATCCCCATGATTTAATCCTACCTGACTGAAATTTTACAAAGCATCTGAAACACTGTTTCCTTTTTTTCCGTGGTCAGTTAGTATAATCATCCACCTTTTTATATTTATCTTGAAATGCACATCAAGAATGTGGTATATATATATATATATATATATATATGTATATATATTTACATCATGGAATTCTATTCATTCATCTGAAAGGATGATATTGTACCATTCATACAATGGAAATAGAAAGACTTAGAAAAAAGTATATTAAGTGAAGTAACCCAGACCCAGAGAAATATAGGTTGCATGTTTTCCCTCATTTGTGATAGCTAGAATGTACTTACATAAATCTATAAATAAACACACTGGGTGGTATACAAGTGGTTGTAAATGAAAAAAACTGAAGTATAACAGACTGTATGGAGAGCTCAAATAGTATAACTCTTTAGGAATTATTGTCAAACCCAACCAAATAAATGGGAAATAGGTACTTGCAAGAGGGGGGAATGGAGCCAAGGGGAGAGAGGTGGAAGAATGAAGGAGGGAAGGGAGAAGAATTTAGGCAAGAATTCATTATATATTCCATAGAATTAAGAAAAACAGGGGAGGGGTGGGTGGAAGAGGGGGATGATGTTGAAGGGATGACATAGGACCAGATGCACTGTATACATAAACTATTTTGTTACATGGCAGAAAATCAAGACATATCCTAAAAGTTAAGAAAAGTGAGGGAAGTGGTGAGTTGGAAGGGAGGTGAGAACGTTGAAAGGGGTGACACTGATCAAGACGCACTGTATTCAGAAACGGCTTTGTTAAATGGCAACTCCTGTACAACTACTGAAACATAACAAAAATATTCAAACAATGCTCATCAAAATTATTAGGATCATTTGAACAAGAAGTTACATTTTAAATCCTGATTTAGGCCCAGAGTGATGCATTTGGCGTGAGCATCTACATTTCAAACACTTAAGACAGAAACAAAAGCAAAAACAGAAATAAAAGTACAAAAGAAAAGAGAGGGACCAAATGAAAGAGAAAGAAAGAAAAGCGAAAATCCAAGTGACTACTTTCCTCTAGATATTCTCAAGCTATGTAGACATTTGAAGATGTTCAAGGTAAATATTAGAAAGAGAGTTGAATTTTCAAAGATGCCTCCCCCATAAACTAGAAAGAAAATTCTTATATCCATCCACAATGTAAGCTTCCTAAAACATAAGACTTGACAGTCAACAATTATTCTACCTTTTTCTTTGCTCACTAATAAAATCACACTGTAACTAGCAAAGTGGTCACCACCCAGCTTGATCCTGTGAGGATCTTGGTACCTGGCTTTCTGTGGTATTCATACTGGAAGTCTTGGCAGTTGCACCTGAGGAGGCTGATACCTGAAAAGAAAAGAAGTAGAAAGTCAGACTTGATTTCACCTGAGGCCTACATTATCTTTAGTGACTTTTATCCATACTGCCCTTAGGTTTTCACTTCAGTTGTATGTAGTTTACAGCACTCCACCCACAAGGCTCCAGTAAATGGCATTGTTCAGAAAGTAAACATCTACCACAGATCAAATGGGCTCCAATTTGGGTTCGATTTTACCAAATGACATTGACAAGTTACTTAAATTATCTGATTTTCAGTTTCCCATACTTATTTTTTTCTTCAGTAGGTAACAACGCCTTCAATGTTTATCATAAGAATTATATGGTGCATGATTAAACAACTGCTAATATTATTTTTTAGAAAAAAAAGCATGGGCTTTGAACTTGATAGAAGTTTGTACAAATCCCTGCTCTGTTTATTACTAGCTCTGTAACTTTGCACCTTACTTTTCCAGATAGATAAAATGAGCCAATAACATCTATTTTGCAGGTTTTAAAGTACTTATAATAATGCATGCAAAATATCTGACACATTGTAACCATACATGAAATTACTACACATTAATACTAAAATATTAGTTACAAAACTAGAAGGATCAAGGACATAATTTTGGAAATACATGGGTGGATGAGAATCAGTTTTATGTTAACAGAAAGTGGAGGATAGCTTGCAGAGGGACTTTTGCTACATTATCCGTCTCATCTAGACTCTTTCTGGGAAGTACTAGATAAGGAATGGCAACTTTAAGTACTCAAGAAACAACTATCTTAGGGATGTATTGTGGTGGTAGATTCTTGAAAGCTGACCTCCCAAGCAATGGGTGACACTTGAGCCTGTGGAAACATGCCTGATATTGAGTGCTATTCTCGTACTTAGCTTGTATTACACTGGTTCATATTAAATAGATGATTATCATCTTGGCACATGCCAACTGAGGCTCATTTAAAACCCCTTACTATTTGAGTCCGATAGGCTTGAGAGCCTAGGAGTTCCATCTGGCATGCATTGCCTTTGAGTAACCAGCTGCCAGTAAACAGCTGCCGCCTTGCCAGCAATACCCAGGGAGCCTGTAATTCAGACTTTGCTCTGTCTCTAATGTCTGGCCCTGAGCCATTTCATGGGATGAGTCAGAAGGCAGCATGAGTCTGTCCCTGCTCTTCCCTTCCATTTTCCCATCTCCATTTCACACTTAATAGTGTGAACTCACCTGCAGCCCAAGACCAAAAGTATGTTCCCATCAGACCTCAGCCCAATTACCAGCAATTACAGATAAAAGCCCAATACTTAGGCATACTGACTTTTCATATATGCTTATTTATACTCTAGGTAAAATTCAGGCATGCCCTCCCCTAAAACATGTGCATGTGTACACACACACACACACACACACACACACACACACACACACACACACACACACACACACACACACACACACACACACACACCTGGTTCTTTGGGACAAAGAACTGAAAGATGTACGCAGGTAGATTTTCCCTTTGATTAAATTAGTGGAAAAATACATAAATATCCACTTTTTCCTCTGAGAATAAAATTTATGGAAATTTAAATGCTTCTAATTCTGTTTTGCTGCAGTTAGAATTAGTGGGACAAAGCTCCATAGTAACTCAAAAAGTTCCACTTTGCTACACCTCAATTTTCAATGATTTCTTTCAACCATGTAAAACTACTCTAGGAATCAAATATTCTCCATGAAAGTCCTTTTTAAGATAAAATTCTTTTGTGGGATATTCATTTATTTTTTAGCATCCAATTTTATTCGTTTTTTTGTTTATTTGCTTTTTTATCCTTATAGCTTGGATGATTTAACCTGACTTATTACTTTATTCAGTGGTATCTAGGTTAGGGGCTAAAGGCTCAAGTCTATACCATAGCTACTAAGAGATTTGAGGACTGAGGTTCAAACCCAGCCTACATAGACAAATCCTTTAAACTCTGACTTGCAATTAATTAGCAAAAAAATCAGAAGTGGAGCTGTAGATTAAGTGGTAGAGTGCTCATGAACTAAGAAGCCAAGAGAGGGTGAGAGACTGTATCCACACTAAAAACAACAAGGAATATCTGGAAATGAGCCCCAAATCTTAGAAGATTTTCAAAGTCCCACCGAAAAGAGTTCACATCTCCATGTAGACAAATTACAAATAGGCACGAAGTAGGCTAAAGTAGGAATTTAGCCAAAGCTCATGGTCCCACCTGTCCTAGAACAGATTCCTCCACAGAAGTTCCATCTTCTAACTAAAAAGCATGAAGTATTTTGAAGTTGGTAACTGGAAACAAAGGAAATGACCTCATTTCACTATTAACCCATTCAATTCTGGACGAATGAAGCTTGTTTGATTTTTATTCAATAGGTGAAGACAAGTAATTTTAATATTTGTTAGCTCCCGATGTAGGACTGAATGCACCTTTATTTTAAATCTTTTGTAATGCATAATAGCTATTATAAATAAAAGATGGTGGAAAGATATTTTGAAGAGGAAGAACTTTAGCAATAACCTTATTACACATTGACACTCAGGTTTTAAACCGATAAGGGAAACCAATTCTCATGTCTAGGGTTCACCACAGGTCACTGACTCCTCAAGTGTTAACCCAGAACACAGTTTGTGCCTGGTAGTGTGGTGAAACCAATAGCCATATCTCTGCCCTTGTGAAAGGTCTAGCCTTACATTATCTTATATTAGTTAAACAATCAATCTGACAATTACTTGCTTCAAAAGGAAATCATGGAGTCCATTCAGAACTCAGACTACCAAAGAAGATATAGTTCAGGGAACAGTTGTGCCAGGAGGTGCTAAGTTTGTGACAGGTTGTGTAGTGACTAATGGACAAGGAGACATCAACTAGGAGGAGGCTGAAAGGAGCATGCCATGCATGAGGACCCCGTGAGCTGTGTATCAGTGTGAGAACCTAGGCTGTCTGCTTTCCAAACCATTGCTCCTCTGTATGGTGCTTATGGCTTATCTGGTCAGTCCTAAGAACATCACGTGGCTTCAAGTTTTCATAAACAACTACCAGTGCTTGTATCAAACAAAATACCTCTTGTAGGATTAGCACTGATCTTCAGTCAGACTAAAGTAAAACTATAGTTCTTTCTCTACCTGTGCAAATTTTGCAATATCCAGAGAAAAGGGTACCTTAATAGAAATCATTCTCCATCTACCCATTCAACAATTTTCATGTAGGGAGCACTGAGACAGAGCTTGAGGATAAACAATGTAGAAGATACAGCCCTGGCCTTGAAGGAGTTGGGTCCAATTACATAAACTGACAACAAACATGTTTAATTACAACCTAAGTGGTCTATCAATGTGAAGAGGCCTTTCATGTGACACAAGAAATACTTTAGTTCCAAGTAAGTTGTAGGCCCATCTGAAATAATGTTGCTATAGTTCCAAGGTATATTAAGATAAACAACACTGTTAAGAGATCAGTTGCAATCTAGGGAAAGCAAACAAACAAACATTTATTTTACTAACTAATGATAATTTATTTTCTACCTTTATTAAATAAAACCTATTTATGACTACTTTCTATTTTAAGAATCTTAGAAGCTCACCACAATGAAGAATCAAAGATAAAAGGGAAAGATGAGGCTGGGAAGTTGGCTCAGTGGTACAGTGCTTGCCTTGCATGCATGAGGCCCTGGTTTTGATTCCTCAGCATCACATAAACGGAAAAAAGCCAGAAGTGGTGCTGTGGCTCAAGTGGTAGAGTGCTAGCCTTGAGCTGAAGAGCTGAGGGACAGCACCCAGGCCTAGAGTTAGGCCCCATGACTGGCAAAAAAAAACAAAAAACAAAAAAGGGAAAGATGACCTATTTTAAAACTCTTAGAAAATACCAATGACTTTCTTTTTTTCTCATATATTTCTTAAATGTCTCTCTGATTACAGACTCAGGTCTTTTACTGGGGCCAGATTATTCTTCCTTCCTGCTATTTTTTGTAATATATATTTTTTGTAAAGATACTGTACAGAGGGGTTACACTTACATGAGCAAGTCCATTTCCTATTGAGCATTGTTACACCCTCCTTTATATTTCCCTTACCATTGCTTTCCTCCCCACCTCCCCAACTCCTCCCTTACCTCTCCTACTCCCCACCCAAAGGTGTAAAGTTCATTTTCAACATACTGTTTTGTACATCTAATTGTTACAATGGGTTATACTGTATCCTTATGACCCAGCAATCCCACTTTTAGGCATTTACCCAAATGATCACAAACAAGGCCATACTAAACCTACCAGCACAACTATGTTTATTGCAGCATTATTCATCATAGCTAAGATATGGAACCAACCCAGATGCCCCTCAGTAGATGAATGGATCAAGAAAATGTGAGATATACATATATATATGTGTATATATATAGTATACACACACACACACACACACACACACAAACACAATGGAATTCTATGCCTCCATCAGAAAAAATGACGCCTCCCCATTTGTTAGGAAGTGGAAAGACTTGGAAAAAATTATATTAAGTGAAGTAAGCCAGACTCAAAGAAACATAGCTCCCATGGTTTCCCATATATCTTCCCATTAAATAGAACAAGCAATACCTCCTGCTGTCCTTTTCAAAACAGACAAACCACAGAAAGGCTTTCTCTTGTCTTTAGAGTCCCTATCTCCATAGTCAACATTATCTTATCACCCATTGAAAAATATACTCCACACATCCAACCTCTCTTATCCCAGACACACTGCGCTTATCTCTTTCTTTATGCTTTCCACTCAGACATCACTGTTTGCTATGCTTCCCTCCTCGACATACTAAGCCTATGTACCCTTTTGTTAAGGTATACCATGCTGGCTCCTGGTTCTGACATCATAATGTGTGCACCACTACAGCCAGTTTTAATTCGACATCATCTTTTTCCAACCCATAATAATACACATGGAAGGTGAAAACAAAATTGTGTCGCGTAGTCTTCTCCACATGATACTGTCCTTAGGAAAGGGCTGTCTCTGCACTGGGGAGC